GCTCAGGCGCGGGGGAGGGGGGATAATTAACTTGGCTCGGAGGGAGGGGGTAATTACCCATCCTTGGGGAGGATAATTACTATTTTTGCCTCTGGGGAAAGCAAGCCCCCCCCCACATCTGGGAAGAGGTGGCCCCTCCCCCCTCGCCCAGGTCTGGCTGTGCTAGGTGGCGGGGGCTCGGGCTCCCACTCACTGCAGCTCGGTGGTGCTGGGGTGATCGGGGCGGAAGACCCTGGCTACCCGCACGGTTGGGAGTGGAGGGATTCCAGCGGCCCCAGGGGGCTGCCCTTGGTAGCAGGGGTTCATGGGTGCGGGGAGAACACACTCGCAGCCGCATGGTAGCCCTGCCAGGGACAGACGGCATACCTCTGGGGGACCCCCTTTGACCCTCGCAGATCGCTTAAGGGAAAAAGAGGTTTTCTAAAAGCGTCTCAGACTCCTCGTCCACTTTCATCCATGGCTAGTAGCCATGTTTCCACTCCAGAGGCTGTACAGATACTGCCCCTTTGCCCCATAGGGCATTTCCGGGGTAAGATCAGGGATTGTTAAACAGAAGCTCAGAGGGAGTTATTATCTCGTGTGCTTATTGGACCTATATGTAAGGAAGTGACCATCCAGCTCCCCACGTGGGCTCTTGTTTTATCTTCACCGCATTCTTCCCTCAAATAGAACGATTTCATTCGTGGCCTAGGGCGATAGGTGCCCACAAGGAAAATGAGCAATCTGGGACTTGGATTGGAGGTTTGGTACTCTTGTACCTGGGAAGAGGTGGTATAATGGATAATCTGTATGATTACGTTCTCCCCACTTTAGAGGAAAACTTAACCTTTAAAGCAGGTGCTCGTGGCTGTAAAGATTATGCACTCTATGGCTTTCCTTTCTCCCCAGATGCCTCAGTATGGGCTAAGCCTACTTAAAGAAATCTTAATTAATGGTGCTCAGAATCTGTATGAGACACATTCCATTTGGCTTACATTTAGGGACAAAGGATGAGTTATGGAGATTGGGAGGCTCTTAGGTGGGAGATCTTGATAGGAATGAGGTCCTGGGAGAATGGAAAGGATGGCAGGGAGCGGAGTTAATGCAAAGGAGAGCAGAGGCAATGAAGGGGAATCCAGCTATCACAGGAGTTTTTAAAAGGGTAAGGTTTAAAACTGTAGCCAGGATGGGAATTGTCTACTCTGACTGACAATGTAAGTCAGTGCATCCTATTTTTAATGGGGATTGCACAAAGCAGCAAATTTCCTCTGAAAAGTGAAAATGGCTGCAGCTGTGTTTAAAGGGGATCTTTGACAATGTACCTAGGTCCTTTGAGCGTGTGACTGTACAATAGACGTTTCTCCTATTCAGAGATTAGTCATCTGTTTCTTTCCTATGCACAGAAATCTATGAATAGGCTTTCAACAGGCAAGTGGCGTCTTGAAGGTCTTCCAGGGCACAATGGATTTGGCATATGTCTGTGAGTGGGAGAAAAGGCCCAAAAGCAACCATTGTCCTTCCATCCCGTTGGTGTGCGCGTGGTCCTGCAGGAACTTGATTGCCTTCACAACTGACCTCAAAAACGAGGAGGAAAAAGGTACCCGTCCTCCCATTTCTGTGTCTTGTGATTTGTATCTGTTCCCCCTCTCAACACCTATGCACAACCCCGAGGTGGAAACCCCCCTGCTCTAGGCTATTCTTGCAGTAGAAAATAGATCTTCGATTCGTCAGAGCAGAGACTTGATTTCTTGGACTTGTAAATCAGCACATGTTTATGGCCCTATAAAAAATAACTGCAGCCTTCACTGACGACCTGCAATAAAAAATGGAATGTTTTAAAAATAAACTCTACTGCCAATTCTTGACTGGACTCGGGTCTCTCCCTGCCTAGATCTTACCCACATGATCCATATCTTGGACACGGAGCATCCGTGGGATGTTTATTCCATTAACTCTGGGCACATTGAAATCATCACCTGCTTGGAATGGGATCAGTCAGGTAAACTACTTTTTATAGTTGCTTTTTTGAGGGGGCTAGGGAGGACTTCATAAAATTGCTCACAGTGTTGCCCATTGTGTAATATCTGCGCTGCCTAACTCTGGCTGATCTGCATTGTGAGGTCCATAATGGATTTCAGAGAGCACTGTGCTTCTCATTTTTCTTGGGTTAGTTACTAGCAATAGGTGGGTCTCCTAGGCTGGTACCAGATATCCTCATGGGAGTCAGGAGCCACCTCTTGAAATCCAACCTGTAGTATCTGCAAGGCCCCCCATTGTGTAATATCTGCGCTGCCTAACTCTGGCTGATCTGCATTGTGAGGTCCATAATGGATTTCAGAGAGCACTGTGCTTCTCATTTTTCTTGGGTTAGTTACTAGCAATAGGTGGGTCTCCTAGGCTGGTACCAGATATCCTCATGGGAGTCAGGAGCCACCTCTTGAAATCCAACCTGTAGTATCTGCAAGGCCCTAAAGGAGGCATTAACACCACCCAGATAGGATTTCATAGGTACACTCTGGGAACTGGTGCTCAGGATTAAATTGCTGCTTGAATTATGAATTTTCTGCGGATGTTGGTGTGAGCATAATGTTACCCAGCCCTTTTGTCAGGCATCGTGTGCCTCCCCCTCCCACTGCATAACCTTGACTAGGGTCCCTGGGGATTTCTGTGAGCGGTGTGCTCCGACCTTTCTGTTCTTTCCATTGTTCTGCATTAGGTTCCAGGCTCCTGTCAGCTGATGCAGATGGACACATCAAGTGCTGGAGCATGACAGATCACCTGGCCAACAGCTGGGAGAACACTGTGGGCAGCATGGTGGAGGGAGATCCAATCGTGGCTCTCTCCTGGTTGCACAATGGGGTGAAGCTGGCCCTGCATGTGGAAAAGGTTTGTTCTAGCTCTTGCATAGGGAACCTGCAAGGAAGGAGTCAGAAAGGAAGCACTGTTCAGTGGTTAGGACAATAGTCTAATACTAGGGAGATATGGGTTCAAATACTTGCTCTGTCGTAGACTTCCTGTATGACCTGGAGTAAGTCACTTAGCCTTTCTGCCTCAGTCCCCCTTCTGTACAATGGGGAGAATAGCACTGCCCTATCTCACAGGGTGTTGTGAGGATACATGCCTTCAGGATTCGAAGATGTGCTTACTGAAGGGGACCGTACTTACCCCGTCGATATTGCAGGCTATCTCCCTGATTCCAGAGAAGAGTCGGAGTTTTGACAAACTTTCCATTCCACAGGGTGTCTCCTAATACACAGTCCTCATGGTACCCCGATGAGCTCAAAACTTGTCCCATTTTACAGATGAAATGCCTTGCCCAAGATTGCATAGCAGGTTGGTGCTGGAGCAGGCATGAGAGGAAAATGGGTCCCATTCTCTGCTCTAGACAGCAACCTAAACTTACTTTCATTTTCCACTCCTCTGGTCCGATGTGTTCTGTCTGTCACTAGGGCCAAAGAAACTTTGCTCCGCTCTGCTGAGGGACCAGAGGGAGGCCAATAGGTCTGAATTGGCTTAAAGTCCGTGTTTGTAATAAGGATTCTGCATTTCTATTACACCTTTCGCAGCTTCAAAAAGGCATGGCTGGTTTTCCCCAGCTGTCTGTCCAGTGAGGGCAGCTTGCTCACAGAGAGGCAAAAGTGTCCAGGTCACGCAATGAGGAAGTGGTGGGGTCAGGAATAAGCATTCAGAGACCTGCTTCCCTGTCCCTGGCTTAACTCTCTAGGCCGGTGATACTCAGACTGAAGCTTGCAAACTGCAAGTGGCTCTTTAATGCGCCTTCTGCAGCTCGTGTTTTAACGCATGGTGTGTTTGTGTTTATTAACCAGTCAGGAGACTTTTACTATGTTGTTAAATGATTGTAGTTAATAAAATACTAATACTAGGTCAGTATTTCCCCAGCATACTGCTTAAGGATGAATATTTAGCTCTGTGTGTCCCTGGCCTCTGTCAGAGGCGGGGAATGGGCGACAGGGGAGGGATGAGTCCCTGCTCTGTTCACTCCCTCTGGGGCACCTGGCGCTGGGCGCTGTTGGCAGACATACACTGGGCTAGGTGGTCCCTGCTCCTGGGCCATGCTGCAGTTCTAGTACAGAGAGACTCAGGCAATGGCAGAGTCGTTTCAGTCCTAGGCTCAAACCTCTCTCTCTGTATGTTAATCTCCGTTCACAGTCTGGAGCCTCGAACTTTGGTGAGAAATTTTCCCGGGTCAAGTTCTCTCCCTCCCTGACTCTGTTTGGGGGGAAGCCCATGGAAGGCTGGATCGCTGTGACCATCAGCGGCCTCGTGACCGTCTCTCTCCTCAAGCCCAATGGGCAAGTGTTGACCTCCACGGAGAGCCTTTGCCGCCTGCGCTGCCGTGTCGCCCTGGCGGACATTGCCTTCACCGGCGGGGGGAACATCGTGGTGGCCACCTCGGACGGCAGCAGCACCTCTCCCGTCCAGTTCTACAAGGTCTGCGTTAGTGTGGTGAACGAGAAGTGCAAAATTGACACGGAGATTCTGCCCTCGCTTTTCATGCGGTGTACCACGGACCCTGCCCGCAAGGACAAGTACCCGGCAATCACTCATCTGAAATTCCTCGCCAGGGACATGTCAGAGCAGGTGAGCGGCTGTGTTGTGCCAGCCTTCCAAGAGTGAAATGCTTAGGAAGGGGAAGAACATACTGGATCTATGAGTTTTTCCCTGCAGCTTTGCGATTGCACTAACCAGTAGCTTGCGTGCTGTTCCATGCTCGAGCCCCCCACCGGCTCTGCCAGTGCACACTAGTCTTGGCCGGCAGTACTCCACTGCATTTCCTGTCCACTGCCTCCCAGCTAGACTCTGGTGGTGGTTGGGAAGTGTGTGTGGCATGGAGGATTTACAGAGCAATGGGTGCTCTCTGTCATGGAAAGGCAATTTGAAAACCCATCCTCTTCCTGCTCCTCGTTCTTGTCTCTCTTGGGAGACTCCTAAAACAAATAGCTGATTTTGGGGGGCACCGGTCTGTTCACAGGCTTCTGGGATATGGAGCCGTTCAGGTTTGTAGCTCACTGCTTCAGAGCCAGCCCAGATCAGTGGCCTTTAAAGCTCTTGGTCAGTCTGAAATGATGTGGTGGCATACGCCTGCTGGGCAGTGGAAAGGCGTTTAATTCACAGACGTCCCCATGATGGGTGATCATTTGGCAATCTCAGCAGAGGCCAAGCTCCCCACTCCAAGCTAATTTCTTCCAGTCAGAGTGGAGCACGTTCTGTCAGAGCGTCTGAGTAACTGCCCTGTGCTAGCAGGGATGACAGTTTCTAGGGCTGTCTCCTGTACCAACGTTCAGTTCATTTCCCGCGGTCAGGTTTTATAATTTTGTTTTCTCCTTGCCTTAAGAAGAGCTGCATTTTACAGGCTTGGGGGAGAAGAAGCAGGGTGTAGAAATAACGGTGTTCATAATTTGGAAGCTAACGGGGGTGACAGCTGCTAGGTTTGCATGTTGAAATTCTGCCTGTCATGTCTGTCTCATAAGGGTGGGGAGGGGTCAGTGTTCAAGGAAGAACTTGGAACTTCATGTGTTGCCAAATCTCTGTTTTTCATGTGTGGATCGTACACCTCGCGGGAAGGAAACACCCTGCACTCTGCGTTTTCCTAATCTGAACTTCATGCAGACATTACATTACCAAACCTCCCCTCCCTTTGGTTGGGAGGGTGGGCACGAAAGGCACAGCTGTGAAGTCGTGCCCGGTTTGAACATCCCTTTCTGATTTGAAGGTGCTGCTCTGTGCCTCCAACCAGAACAGCAGCATCGTGGAGTGCTGGTCTCTCCGCAAAGAAGGCTTGCCAGTCAATAACATCTTCCAGCAGATCTCTCCTGTGGGTGAGTTTCAATAGCTGCTGCTCCTCTGAAGCAGAAGCGGAGTCCAAGGGGAATCAAAACTTGGTGTAAACTCTTGACTCAGTTATGACTTGAAATCCCTTCTTTATTCATCTCGGCGGTCTCTCACCCATGTCCTCCTGTGTTTAGTCCTGTCTTTTGTTTCTGCTGTTTATCTGTTTGTTTGCATCTGCCTATGCACAGTGTGCAACAAATTGCAAATTCCAAGAGAAAAATACAGGGAGTTTAATTGTTTCTCTCGATAATAATGGATATGTATTTTGGTGGGTGTGTTTTGTTTTTGGCAGCTTTTAGTGCCTCCACTTT